TTGTTATACGCTTCGCATAGTCATTGTTACATTCTTTGATCGTGATATCCGTACTGAAATCTCTATTGAATTCGAATTATATTTTGAATTAGCAGTCAGGACGATAGAGGTCGCCCGACACGACGTCCCTAGTAAATATTCAAAAGAATTCAAATAGCAAGCATATACTAGAATCTTCTAGTCAATACGACCTGGTTCTGATCTGCATTCACAAGAGATCCGATCAAGGGCAACCACGTAGCGATTGCCGCCTCCTTATGATAGGCTCTCAGGTTATCGCGACGCGAGAAGCCGCGCCGGCAGTCCGGAACCAGCAGGTATACAGCTTTTCAGTAAATGGCTGGATAGATAACGCTGAAGGCCTATGAAATATCGAAGGCAACTTCTACACGCTGCAACACTGCATTTGAATTGTCGCCGCCGAAAGTGTCATAGTATATTTGCTGTTGCGACTGTGGCTCAGGCGTCACGGGTGGATAGACAAAAGACCTGGTTTATTAGACTATTCATAGGTTTGATCTTTTGACCAGCCGGACAGTCAGCTAAGACGTGCGGAAGAGAGTGGTATAAACTGACAATAATTCCAAGGGGGAAACGTCCAATCCACACATCATCCACGAGTACGTGTGTAGCCATCTAGGTGGTCTGGAAAAACTCTAATTGCCAAAATTTTCTCAAAATTTATTTGCACTTTTCAACGTTCGTTTCAACGACCGTTAAAGGTGAATCACCGTAAACATCTTGAATATGAGATGCAACCGCTAAGAGATAGTTCTAAGGATGGCCCAGTCTAGATTCATGCACGCCACGGTTCGTATTGGGGGCTTGGCGAGATTGGCCGCAAACTCTAAAAAGCATACTTCAACGGCTGTTGAATCACCTCAACGGGCGGCAAAAACGAGTGTTTCCTACAGATTTACAGTGCAGTACACCACTTCTCCCATAGATTTTGCATACCTGGCAGCTACGAGCATCCGTAGGCGAAAATGCATAAAAGGACGCTCCACAACCGGTCTGGGAAATTCAGGACTTCCATCCTCATCCTCCGAGACAGTCACGGTCATCTTGTCTGACCGCAGACTTTACTTATAATTAGTCTTGGCTTTCGCTGGCATGAGCCCATTGAAGTAAGAAATGTGCTCTCTCGCAGGACGGGCTCTGCATTATCAAGTGAACTCCGCAGGGACATCTGCGATACCAAGAGACTCCGCAGTGACAACTGCGTAACCAAGAGACTCCGCAGGGACAGCTGCGATACCAAGAGACTCCGCAGTGACAACTGCGATACCAAGAGACTCCGCAGTGACAACTGCGTAACCAAGAGACTCCGCAGGGACAGCTGCGAAACCAAGAGACTCCGCAGGGACAGCTGCGATACCAAGAGACTCCGCAGTGACAACTGCGTAACCAAGAGACTCCGCAGGGACAGCTGCGATACCAAGAGACTCCGCAGTGACAACTGCGTAACCAAGAGACTCCGCAGGGACAGCTGCGATACCAAGAGACTCCGCAGTGACAGCTGCGAAACCAAGAGACTCCGCAGGGACAGCTGCGATACCAAGAGACTCCGCAGTGACAACTGCGTAACCAAGAGACTCCGCAGGGACAGCTGCGATACCAAGAGACTCCGCAGGGACAGCTGCGATACCAAGGACTTCCGCAGGGGGGCGCTGCGTCACGAAGTGAACTCCGCAGATAGGAACTGTGATGACAAAATCCTCGCAGGGGGGCGCTGCGTCACGAAGTGAACTCCGCAGTCTAGGATCTGTGATGACAAAATCCTCGCAGCTTGAGGTCTGCTTTACCAACATCCTCCCTCACAGACAATGAGCCCTGTGTTTGTAAAAGCGTGCTCGATCGGGTAGGACCTGGGGCCTAAGGTCTACACCATGATCCTCTAGCAACATGCAGGCACCTCTCCGTGGTGCTAGGGACCAGTATTCAAGTGTTGCTGCGGCGCTTGAGGAAGCCAAGACCTGCACGACTCATCTTTGGGAACATTATGTAGGCCCGAACCATGGGGGAAGTCGATAGCATAGGAATGAAGACAAATTCTCGATTCTGACTTGTCCTAATGTAGAGATAGATCTTGTAAGCTCTGTCACTGAAATTCCAATATAAGGATGGCACTACGTGGAAACCTTCAAACCACACGGGAAGAAAGAGCAAACATACAGTGTTGTCTTAGCGAATAGAGACAATTGGATCACAGGCGGCATGTCAGTATTAGAACCAATTGACAGTTCACGCCGGTGTCTCCCATGTAATTCACGGATATTGAGATGCTTGTGGACGGTGTGGACGGTGCGGACGGTGTGGACGGTGTGGACGGTGTGGACGGTGTGGACGGTGTGGATGGTGAGGACGGTGAGGATGGTGAGGACGGTGAGGATGGTGAGGATGGTGTTGACGCTGCGTTGATAAACGGAAGTGGTGAAACGTTAAAACTGTGAATCACCAGGCGGTGAACCAGGCTCATCCCTGGCGCCGCAAATATTTGTCCGTTAGGCACAAGACCCCACCTGCACAAGTTACTTTATCATTTGCTAAGTGTGCATTACGCGCTTTTCGACAGCAGGCAGGCTGAGACCAGCTTGTCAGGATCGCTTTTATGAGGTCGTACTCGGCCGCCAAACATTGTTATCTCACACACATAATTCAACGGTGACGGTCAATCCAATGATTGATTATGGTTGATCCTCCAACGAGGCTTTTTGTTCACGGCAGCACCTGTTGACTCAACGGCACACTCACAACATCAAAATTACATTTCTGTGCGGCGACTATTACATGGTTGAGGCGGTAGACTGGAGTATTCGGCAGCTCACACTTCGCAAATAAACATGGGTGATATGAATTGCGGCTTTGCCAATTACAGAAGGACCCATTGGTGTTTTTTTACGGTCGGGCTTTCGACATTAGGAACCACAACAGGCACTACCAGATCCGATAGGATCCATTAAATTGTTGAACGGCGACTTATTTGATCTTGGCTCTTGAATTTTGAATGTCTCGCATGTTTCTTGTCGTGTACTGGGTAATACTGTGTTGAAATGAGGGATAGGATCTAGGAGGAGCGATAGCATATGCCAGCAACTGAGTATTATTAAAGATGTCTCAAACTAAGATAACCCCTGAAGGGAAGTGTGCTATACACACTTCCCGAAGATCCACGTTACCGTATAAGGCTAGTGTGCCTCAGGTAGGACGACCTACAATCTAGCAAGGCCTCAGCGGCATTGAAGACTGCTGAAACCTCAACAACATGGAGCAAGGAGTTAATCTCGCTTCTATGTGGTGGAACAACTATGAGGGACAACTCACCCCACCTCGGATTTATATTTTGACTTCTCACGACTATACTTCATGGGCACAGCAAGGGACTCGGGCTGATGTTCACTCTTGTCAACGTAATAAACAAGTATGAGAACCTCCAACACAGGACTAAGCTACCTATCACATACAGAATAGGCAGGTGACGACACCACCTATAGTATATAGTAACTGTCGAGGATAGTGGAGCAGTTGCTTACAGCTGCCTCCTATTGGTTTCCTTCGTCCCTCGCCTTTCTTTATGTTTTGTATGTAAATTACGGGGTTCCGAGACAACACTTTCAAGTCACTCTCGAGTATCCCATGGATCCTCTAAGACACGGAGGAATCAGTCCCATCCACATATCAACTAACCGGCCCCTTACAAAAATTACATTTTATTACGGACCCCCGCTACGCGAGGGTCCTACACCTCAACGAAATCATTCACCTCAACAATATCGCATCTCTAAATATGCGATAGGCCACTTTGCACACCAATTTAGCATCCAAATATCAACGATTTAGAAGGTTTTAGAGACATCAAAATCAAGCGATTTGATTGGCCTATTCAAAAATACTAATTATTTCGCGGTCCTAATACCCTTCGATCTGCACTTCCTCTTCAACCCTGGCATGCTCTCACGCTTCCAGTACGGTCGCAATTTATCAAGGGCCCGTATATCATCATCAATCTTCTCTAACCGCTTAATACGCTCAAGCTGGCTAGAATGCACTATCCCGGTCAACTTAGTTGATTTGCGCGATCCTACCTTCTCGCGTGCGTATCGAATTTCGCGTAGATAGGCTGAATTCTCAACGTTTCGCGCGCACTCATCAGCAATGTATGAGAATTCTTTAGCAGCTTTTGCAAGCTTCCTTATCAACGCACGCGTTGGTGTACGCTGAGAGCGTTGAATTATATCGTCTAAGCGATCTTCTAATCGTTGCACGCGCTTAAGGGTCTTAGGGGTGCTAAGATCAGAAGTTGATCCAGATATAATCGACGAGGGAGGGCTTGGTGTATCATAGCCGACTAGGTCGTTGATAACCCTCTAGGGGTCAATTGGCTATAGTCCTGTTAGCTTAAAGCCAAGCTTGGTTGTAGATGGCTTAAAGGTTTTGGTTCGAATCTGGTGAAGTGCACTAAGGAAGTCATCTTTCGTGATCTTCTCGTAGCTAGCCACAGTTGCATCGTACACCCACTCGCTATGCCAGTGCTTATAAGCACTAAATACTCCTACATTAAGCGGTTGAAGAAGATGGCTTGAATGCGGTGGTAAGAAGAAGAGAATAATCTATTGATGTTCACAGAACTTGACGAATTCGTATGTAAGATGCGAGCCAAATTGATCGCAGATTAACATGCGATAGGTGCCCTTTTGAGAGGTTTTAGTGGTCTGATGAAATAGGCGTATCCACTGTAGGGCAAGAATATTATTTATATAGCCCGTTTCAGTGATAGCAAGGCCCTCGTCGGTAGTAATATCGAACTAGCGGCGTAGTAGGAGCCTCGCGCTTAGTATCACTACTGGTGCAACCATGACACCCGTAGCAGAGATAGCTTCAACCACAGTCGCATATTCGCGATTGCTATTAAAACCACCAGAGAGAACACGCTTTGGCTCGCGTGTAATAATCCACTGATCTTTGCCTACTCTAATATTGAAGCCGGTCTTATCGAAGTTCTAAATATCATCGGCTACGATACCATAGCGGGCAATCGTAGCTTTATACGATTCAAACCACTCTGTAGCGATCTGCCGATCGAGACACTTCTTCCTCTCGATATCGAGGACCCTTAGGCGGCGTACGCGATATTCAGGGTGACGCGTAAGGAAGCGAGGTAGCCAATTTTGGCCGATTGTAGGTGGGGGTTGCGTAGGGTCGGTGTGACAATGAGCAAGAATCGAATTGGCCGCAGCAGCGATTTCAGCGCATTTAGGGTGTAGATAGATCGAACCAAGGTAATCAAGATATCTGCACAGAGCAGATTCTTGTGCTTCATCAAGCTTGCGACCTGCTGGCTTACGCTCATAGCGCGATTTGCGGCCGTTGTAACGCGCAAGAAGCCGTTGATACGGTAGGTTATGAGCACGCGCGTAGCCCTTAATATTAGTCTTATTTTGGTCCTCTAGGTCAAGAAGGGCCGATTGAATACGTGATTCAATCGAGAGGTCTGCTTCGGCCATGGTGGTTGAGAAATCATGCGAATTGCGAAGGGAGGGAGATTTAGAGATGCGATATTGTTGAGGTGAATGATTTCGTTGAGGTGTAGGACCCTCGCGTAGCGGGGGTCCGTAATAAAATGTAATTTTTGTAAGGGGCCGGTTATGGACCAACTCTGCAGATGTGTATTTAACATACCCTCTGCCTGCCACTCATTTTATCTACAATCAATCAATTCAATCTGTCAATTCTACTAATTGGTTCCCCTTCCACTAGAATCCCTACTTATTGCAGTACTAGCCATTACTGATTAGCTTGCTCGATCAGTAACTAAGACACTGTGGTACTGGTGAACTAAGATGTAATGTATTGAAATAATTTATTACAATGCGGACATTCTACACACCGCCTTTCCTTTCCACACGCTAGCAATAATGAGCACGAATTCGCTCTTTACCTATCATTACACCGCTTCATCTTAGCTCGGTTACACAATTTAATATCTGCAGATATAGATCACTTATGTATATCACCCTCTGAGCTAGTATCTTCAGATCTCCACAGATCCATGCAGGCTCGGTTTTCTTACTCTATTTGGCGAATTATATAGCGTATACTTTCTAATGTACGTAGTAGGTCAAGCCTAGGAGGAGATGACTATTCAATGATGCCTTATTGCGGAGCATTTGTATGTTTTGGCATAATCTGCTCACAGACTGAAGGCACATAGTTTTTAAAAAGAGCTCTTCTAGTATGAGCTGAATTTTTGAAACCAATACGCGAATCTGTTCCAGGAATCAGGCTAAACTAAAATATTATTCGGTATCTGTATAGCCCGAAGCTGTCAAATCATCCTGTCAGATCTGAGAGAAAGATATACGCACTAGTACGCAAATGAACCAATTAGGCAATTGGATGATACTTGATATACTGTACGTTCTTCTACGTATATGCATGTGTGAAAAATATAGGGGCTACCGCTCCGCACGAATCGAATCGAATCGAACTTTTGCCTGATTCGATTCGATTCGAATTATTATTGAACAGATCGATTCGTACGAATTCGAATTCACGGCCGATTCGAATTCGATTCGAAGTTCGCGAACTTTTGGGACCAAAGCCTCATTGGGAAGGCGGTAAATGAGGACTGGCAGTGTCTGCAGTTCCACGCCATACCATCAATCGACGCCACATGAAGTGTAATAAATGGCTGTTATTGAGTTAACTAGTTAAATAATCAACAGATACAGAAATAGATAAGCTAGGGTTTGTCTATTACATAAAAATTAAACAATTTGACCTCGAATGAAGAGAGTTATAGGGCAGTATCAATAGACGCGAGTGTTTGGCAATAACCTCCATGCAAATAATATATAATTTTTAGTTCTAATTTAGTCAATAAGACCATAACCTTATTTCTTGTCCGTTTTGCTTCAAATTAAATTATCCCATAGATCGCATTGAGATACACGTAACCTATTAATATAGAGGGAAGATATCCATAGTTGCACATTTTATTCAATATAGAGCAAATGGACAGTCTAATCGGGCTAGCGGAGATTCCACTAGGACGCGTGGAGACGCGTACATACTTTTATCCAGAACAATATCCGAATCGTAGTCAAACGCTACTGAAAACCATCACTTCTAGGTGCTCTAAAGTAAGCGATCAATCAAGACATAATCTTGATATACTAATATCATATAAAGATGACTTCTCCACTTCCTATAACATTCGGCTGTCCTAATACTAGGAAGAATAAACGCGATTATGCGGCGCTTAATAAATATGGCCTCCTCGCAGAGGATATATCACTCCTACCCCCTCGAAGGAAGAGAGCGGCCCAACGCGCCCCTAAGTCACCGACTCCTCCGATTTCAACTTCTCCTACGGCTCCTAGCAATGTTTCCAGGAGTTTATCGAACCTTAATACAGAGATATGCCCTTCGTAATCAATATCTCAGGTCGAATGCGAGGTTGAGAGGGTTGAAATCAAGCAGAATGATAAGACTAAGTCGAAGGAGCGGAGCTGGGTATAGAAATACTATAGTACAACACCTAAACCTAGCACTTAGAGATTAGGAAATAAGGAGCGGCTCGAACTTAAACACCTGTACATTATATCGCTATCTACCTGTCGATTCTTTCGATTTGTATCTAAACTACGATCTTCAACTACAGCGTTGAAACAGCATCTGCAGCAAGCACACAAGCTCTTTCAGGACGGTTATTCAGAAGGCTAAGGACCACTAAGCTTATAGATTTCTAAGGAAAAGAAGCTCCCCTTCGAAGAGGCACTCCTAAATTGGATTATATCGACCTGCCAGCCGTTTATATATATCGAACACCCTTTATTTAAGGCTATATTAAGGTCCGCAGGCTTTCAGGACTCCTTACCGAGTGCGGATACAGTGTCCCGCCGATTAGGTCTTCGGCTTAATGCTCTTGACAGTGAGCTTCGAATTTTGATGTCTTTAGCTTCGTCAATCGCGCTATCTCTTGATAGTTAGACAAGTCAGAACTCGTTACCAATGCTAGCAATTAATGCCCACTAGATGTCCCCTGATTTTCAGCAATATCGAGCCTGTATTGAGTTCGTTGAAATCGAAGGCAACTACTCTAGAGAGAAGCTTACTGATATCGTCGCGACGGTTCTCGACAGGTTTTATATATCTGATAAAGTAATAACAATTACAGCCGACAACGCATCTAATAATAACACCCTACACCGGTACCTCTACCAAAAGCTGTCTCAGCGGTATAATAAGTACCTAGCTGAGACCATCATCCGAGAAGGGATAATGAAGTTTACCCAGAACTCCTAAATCCGCTGCTTTGCTCATATCTTGAATTTAGTCATGAAATCTATACTAAGGTCTCTACGCGCGAGTTCGCATAAGGAAGCCTGTGGTCTTCTTGATAATGTTACTAAGGGAAGCTAGAAGACTATCAATGCTCCTACTTCGCCTATTACAAAGCTTCGACTACTTGTCCTTTGGATTGCGCGATCTCCCTAGCGAATACAGAAGTGGGATAATCGGCCTGGCTGTACAAAAGCTATTAATTACGATGTTAACACTCGATAGAACTCTACCTTTGTTATGATTAAGAGAGCCGAAGAGTGTTACCGGCAGCTCGAAGATACGGTCAACGACGAGCTAGATATTGAAGCCTTGCGTCTCACACATAACGACTAGAGACAACTCTCAGATATCAAAAAAATCCTGACTCCCTTCAACGAATATACTAAGTACGTCTCTCGAGACAGTCCTTTAATTTATATAGCGGCGCGTATGTTTGAAGAGCTCCGTTCTATACTCCTCGCTATTAAGGAACGACGAGGCGAGTGGCAGAAAACCTCGGCAGCAATAACTATTTCTGTTTCCGACGGAATCTTACTCCTGGAGAGGTACCACAACTGTGTTAAAGACAACGACATATACTATATCGCAAGTATTCTGGATCCTCGAATCAAGACCAAGTGGCTCAAAACGCTACCAGATGGAGACAAGATTATCGACCGAATCAGGGCGTTCCTGAAGAAAGCATATCACACCCCGGAACAGCCTGCATCGACTGCTCTAAGCACCAATTACAAGAGCTTCGAATATCGATTTTTGGAGGCCTTTCAGCTAACGTAGTGTAACGTCGCTGAGTCAGATATCGACTAGTATTTCGATACTCCTACAATTAGCACTGGTTTCGAAACAAGCCAGAGCCAGACTGAATTTATACGGGACTAGTAGAAGGCTAACAGGCTTGAATTTACTTGTATGGCCAAGGCAGCACAAGATCACCTTGCTATACCAGCAGCGGAGGTAGATATAGAGAGATTATTCAATGGCGGGAGAGATGTACTGGGAATTCGACGTTTCTCTATGAAAGGCAAGACTCTTGGGACCTTAATAAGGCTGAAAGATGCTGTACGTTGGAAGTCTGAATAGTTACGTAGTTATGGTTTCTTTTGGAATATATGCGGTTGATATTATGCATTTGCTAAAGTCTTTTTGTCGGGGCCGGACACCTCAAAAACTCCTCTCCAAGGCGTGCTTCTGCTAAGAAAGCTAGAAATTAGTTCGCGAACCTGTTCGAAATTCGCGAATTTTGACGAATCGAATCGCGTACAGATTCGAAGTTCGAAAACCAAGGTTCGAATTCGATTCGATTCGTCGAAATTCGCGAATTTCGAATAGTTCGAAAATTCGTGCGGAGCGGTATATCGAATTAGACCCCCGTCTGGACCCAGCTCCCTCAAGCGAATCACTAGTCTCCTATTGACGTGGTCAATTGCTCCTGACGTGGTCAATTGCTCCCCTGTCGTCCTTGAATAGGGCTTCCATAAGCTGCTTTCTTCTCCAGGCTTTATATGTGCTCTGGATTAGGTATACAACTGCGTTAATCGCGCTTCGACGTTTGCGGCAACCCGTTGTCCGGGGTGCAAGCTGCTTGTCGTCTTATAGTGGTTGGGGATGACCTCTGTAACTTACTTTCCGAAGGCAGTTCAGTAGGCTGATTTCCCGCTAGGCCTTGTTTAGGTAGTCAGGTTTATTCGGCTTTCTTAGGAGAATTCCCTGGGCCGTCTTCTATGCTCGCGAGTGAATACCTAGCCGGAAGCACTGATGAGCTAAGGCCACTATCCGGGGGCGATTCTACTTATATAGGAGCTGGAGGGCTTGGAAGCTTAGCCTATCGATTCCCGTGGCTTTTTGGATGGCTTGATGAAAAAGGCCCTTCTGACCATATTCTCGTCTAATTGAGTGAGCTAGATCCTTTGAGGGACCTCGATAGCTTTATTGACCCCTGGGGCTGGTGGTAAGGCTATTTCTTGACCCAAGGCCCTTTTGCTGGAGGGTATGGCTAGCTCACCCTCTGGTCGCCATAGAGTTGGCGTAGTGGCTATGGTTTTAGACTTGGTGTGGTCTTATGCGAGCTAGCACCGAGCTTTATCCTCTGCGGTAGATTTATCTGGACGGTCCATAGGTCCGCTTAAGAAGGCCTCTCAGCATGCCAGTTTTGAGTGTTGAATTGTGCGATAGTAGCTGTTCCAGGCCTCTTTGAGACTAGCCGTAGAGATATTCTCTGTCCGCTAAGCTCTCCCGCTCGGTTGTAGACCTTACAGGCGGTCGTTGTAAGTATTTCTCGTCCCCCTAAAATAACATATCAATCACTATCTGCAGTAGTTGTTGGTACACGTCTATCGGAGGTTCTTCTGGAGTCGTGAATATAAATATTCGATCTTTTGGAGGTGAGGGTGCGCAAAGGGGGCGGCTGTGCTAGCTGTGGAGGCTCAAGACGCTTGGAGGCATCAAGTTTCTCAGTCCTATACGACACCAAGTTTTAATCAGCAACAAGCCAGATCAGACCATAGTTGATGGTATGAAGAGACTCAGGAACCTAGCGGCAGAAACTAGGCCGTTATATGAGAGTAGGGTTCGCGATACATAGAAACATGAGACAGATCATCCTAAAGATAGTTTGACCTTTGCCCCATTCGGATGTCTGGAATCACGCCAACGCCGACGACCTTGGCGACCTTGCAGCACCCAGAACTAACACTCATTTACCTATGCAGTCCTCTGTCTCAGACGTCTAACCCGGCACCATTTCGACGAGCCTTAGTAGACAAGCGACAGCGAGACACAACAGTTTTGTGATTCAGAACGCAAACCGAACCTTATCTTAGGGTCTTGGATCGTATATGGCGACCTTACCGCCTGCCAATCATCAGGATCATCCTCCCCACAATTTCCCGGCCGAAACTCCTTCTGTTCCTCGCAATAACCTAACCACCACATTTCAAAGGCCTGCCGATTATACAGCCATCTCGGCGCACCTCCTCCCTCACCGAAGAGGTCCAGAATGTGGTCGCAGTACATCCATACGCCCTCAAGATACTGTGGTAGTAACGGCTTCCTGTCCTTGCGCGCGACCACGATGGTGCCGATATGTGACTGCCATATCGGAGGCGCGAAGCCCGAGTCGGGGTTGATGTTAAGGTACGTAGCGATCTAGTTGTCGAGGTCAGCACGGTTAGCGGACCGAGTGCCTACTTGATGGAGAACCAGCGGGACTTCGATAAGCCCTAGGACGGGAGGAACAGTCTGCGAGAAAACGTTATAATTTGCGGGATTCTGGTGGCGGACTAAGGCAGATCTTTGATTTGCTCGGCCTCGCACCGGACGACGATAGCTTGAATGGGTCCCGAAGCGCCGTCAGTTGCTATCGAAGTGGATAAGGAGGAGTGCAATGAGGCAGGAGTAGGGGCGGGGTTGCTTTTGGCGCAGGGGCTTGCGGAGACAACATCTCTGGCTCGGAATCCGAGTCTAAGTTGTCCTATGAGTAATCTATAGGTGCTATGGAATCAGCATAAGTCTTCGCAATGGTTGAATAAAGAGGATGAATTCAATCTGCGTGACTCTTCGTAAAAGGAACTTGCTAGAGAGAACCACAGACCTTCGAACGCTCGGACCGCCCAACGCATATGACCTCTAAGCTATTCTATAAGCTTTCGTGTTAGCGAAGAGAATTGGGAAGCATTAAGGTTCTGAGCCGTACCCTCTTTGTCAGCGGCATCTCCTTCGATGCTTATCTCCGTTCGCTCTTCAACAAGTTCGGCGTCGTTCAGACCTGTATGGTCAACATGGATAAGCGTTATGCTTTCATTAAGATGACTAGCCGCCAGGACACGGTGAGCGCTCACGAAGGAATAGAGTCGTTCTTTTCAGTCGAGATAAAACTTCGTACCGGTGGGGCGTTCGTTTCGGCACGCGTGACTGCAGCGACTATCAGACTGGCATCAGCGTGATCCCAATCGAGCGTCTTACCGATGCGGATCGCAAATGGCTGCTTACGGCGGAGTAGAGTGGCAGCGGAGGTCGCCCTATCAAGTCGGGAATGGTTGTCGGGGAGCCAGATATCAAAATTGGTGCTGGCGTCTCTAAGGCCATCAGTCGGCGCATTGCGGCCGGCTTTGGCGGCAAGCATGGCCGGTACTCAGATGGCTTTAGTGGCCGCGGCGGTGGTCGCGGCGGACGCCCAGACCGTGATGGCTTGGCAGTCTAAGCCAAGGCTGCCTTCGCTGCAATTGACAAGCGGGAGTACCAACTTCAAGCTGATTGGCATTGACATTGCTTTTGTTACTGTCTCTCAGCACCACATTGTGTCTCAGAGTACGGTCTCGCGTACTATACGTCAGTGGTATAGGAGGTTGAGTGGTGCTTTTAGATGCTGTGGAGTCGCGGCAATATCAAGGGCGGCTAGTTACTCGTTGTTGGCGGCTGAATCCGGCGTCTAGGGGGGTTGCGTGTTGGTTTGGGATTTTTGGGAGGAGGGGGGGGGGGGGGGTAATGGTCACTACTCTCACCCTTATCTTACGGCAGTGACCCTCGGTCTCTCGGAAGTCAGCGGGCCCTGCCGTTCTTCCAGCTGGCTTGATGGTATGCAGCTTATTTCTTAGTGAGCCGGAAACACTCTATTCCGCCTTCAGGGCATGGTCCCTCGCTAGTTGCCGTTCTCGCTGTTTCTTTAGCACAGGTCAGCCACATGGCCGTGTTCCTTGCGGTAGTTGCATTTTCTTGGGGTCTTCTGAACTGTGTTGATTGAGTTGTTGGTTTATGCTCCTGGTGCTCCTTGCGTGAGCGCGGCAACGTGCTTCCGCTACACCATCTGCTCGACAATGGGAGACGGTTTTCAATGGTCGTGGGATTGACTGGGTCTTCGTCGTTCTGGATGGCATCCACGAGGAGTGTATTTCAGTCCGATCTGCGTTAACAGGATGGCGATGTGTGCTCGGTCGGCGACGGATCCCGGAGTAATAGCATCCAAGTAGTGCACCAGCAACCGCACTAGATCGACGATTTTCGTGGGCTGGCGAACCAGGCAGCAGCGGTCTCGTAAAGCTGGGCAAACAGCTCGTAAGACGTGGCCAGCTCTATGCGCTGGTATCGTTCTTCCGGTTCATTCTACACCGCCCGTCATTAGCTAGGAGATTGAAAGGGTTGATTCATGACTGACATGTTCTGGGGGAAGAAATAATCTTTGCCGAGCAAGTGAGGTTGAATGGTGTCCCAAAGGCGAGCCACGCGAATCTGCCGACGCCTCGTCCGAAGCGGGAAGCGACACTGGCTGAAGGTAGACTCAACCAGAAGGTTCTGGGAGTCGGCCGCATAGATCTCGACTGTCGTCAGGTCCATGGGATCTGTCGGTAGGACGATGTCAAGATCCCTCTGTTGACATGGATCAGGCTTCGAAATCGGACCGAGCCGCTTCCAACAGTCCGTTATGACACCTGCCACGGACTGTGAGGGGTATGCCTTCGGTACGCGGAGATCGATCGTTCCTTGGATAAGCCGGCATATCCAGGTTCTGAGTCTGGTGGTCGATAATGAGGGCCTCCATTCCTGCCCGCGATTTCGTCACGCGCAGCTGAAGCATTCATACGCTCAGCTCTCACATTTCAGGAGGGTCGAGTTACCGGATGGACTTTTGGCGGATGCTTGTCGATATATTTTATTGTGTTCTTATGCCTCGCGGGCAGCATTGACGTTCATTTGACCGGCGTGGTGTCAACCTCACGGTGTTGCCTTACGTGACCAGGACAGGCGGCTGAATCGCGAACCAACGAATAGAGCTCTTCCATTTAGTGACCGCGATGAACAGTTCCATTGTCCCTTAGCCTACTAGAGGCAGCTGTCGTGATCCATTCTATTGCCTCGATTTGAGCAGAACCAGGTACCGAACCACTTGAATTCTAAACGCTTTACCCCTCTTTTCAACTATGCCAGAGAAGTCTCGTTCCAGTAGCTCGTTCTTATTAAGGATCTTCTCGATGGATTGCGCCTGAACGCTTTCTCGATCAAAGACAATGATTCCGACTGTGTTTTGGCCGCTTGGTGTTGTTACCCGATTCGTGTAACTACTCGTGTTGATGCGGGCTCAGTCGACCCCGAGTATTCGAACCAGATGCCATACTTGGTCTTGGTGGTGCCAGTGGAAGCCATTGCACATCCTGCGTAGCAGCCGCAGTCGATGAGGCCGTTTGGATGCGACTGTTTGCTGGAGCAAGGACTAACGGAGGTACCGGCCAACGCATTCTTATCCTCGTCTTCACTGTTTCGGAGATAAACGGATGAAATCGAACACAGTCGCGGTCTTTGCCAAGTCGCTGGTAGCTCACCGCAGTCCGAGATTCGCAGAGCTGGCTCCCACAGCGGCCAGCGATCGCGAGAAGGACGAAGTAGGGGAAGCCCGTCGATCTGCTTCCGATGCGCTCACACTTCTTCCACTTGTCATTGACAGTTTTGAAGGCGTGCTATTCGTGTTCGTATTTGACCCCAGTTCTGATTTCGTGGGTTCTCTGACGGGGCTTCGAGTGGTGTTGTCGACGAGCCATCGCAGCTGCTTGGTGGTGATCTGCACACTATTGTCTCCATGGCGCGGGATCCTCCTTTTGCGAATGGTGCGAGAAACGATTGACGGTTCGAAGTTCTTCATTGAAAATGGTTTGTCGTTGCGTTGGAGTGTGTGGGGGCGCTCAGGAACTCACATCAGGATCCGCCATCGGTCCGCCGTAGGTACGCCGTTGGAGTAACTCGGTGGATAACGAATTATATCAACAGCCGCGACTCTGATTTGGCAGCGACCGCATTTCTTTCTCGTTTCCCTATTTACGGTCGGTCAGCTGACTGCAGTGTAGTTTCAGATCACGGGGCTTTGAGTGACTTCAAACAATTCACAAACCGTGGCGAGCTTGATCCCGGTCCCGTTCTTGGAGTACATTCCTGGTCGCAGGGTTTCACAGTTGGCAGAACGGGTGACGCGATGTCACTGATACTACCAGTGCCGCTAGCCAGAAAATAGTGTCGAAGCTTCAGCTTTGGGATACGATCATTCATGACGGCGCTTGAAAGCTTGCAATGTCCTTCCGAGGCACAATATATGATTTCTGCCGGTCATTAACCGATTGGTGGCCATCGGGAATTGGGAGTTCCACATACCGTGCACTTGTGTATTCAGTCCATACGCACACAATTCTAGGCAGCCCAAAGAGTTTTCGAGATTAGTGTCAGGCAAGACAAGGGGAACGAGGCACATACCCGTAACATAGTCCCGTTTTTGCACTGTTGAAAACGAGGCGGGTCTTGATAACGAAGGGGTCAACTCGATTGGGCAGCCGTGACATTTCCAATGAACTGGATTTTTGTCAAGGAGCCCGAGTTTCTTCTCGTTGGCTTTCTTAGCTCAAACAGGACAATGCGAGATGATAACCGGATGGTCAATAAAGAGAAGGAGCGTATCTTCGCGCGGGAGTGTCAAAGGTACTGACTGACTCATCCGTCAATGAGGAGCTTTGTCTGTGTCAGCATAATGGAAGAGTCCAGGGGTGATTAATAGTGGAAGGAGAACTCATCACCTGTCCGCTGATAGTCTCTGGCGCTGTCAAGCCCGAACGACTAGAGCAAAGGGCCGGGGGAGTAGAGGGTATTTATAGACATCTCGACTTGTCCTGTCCTCACATGGTTGTTAGCACCGGTTGACTTCTACTAGCAGTGGTAACCGTTATCATAATTGTGAGTGTAGCTGTCCAAATCTGCGGCCCGTTGAAATTATGTTTACGTTCAATATTCGTTAATTTGAGTGACGCTTGGAATGCCAACTTGAGACTATCACCAGAGAAGTCAAGCCCATGTAGTTAGAAATAGCCGTGATGAGTTTATGGACATGGCATCGTTTAAACATCCTAACGGTTAACCGTCAACGTTCAACGGTGAGCCCTACTTGCTCACTTCGTGTTCGAAATAGTTTTCTCAGATGTACGATCCATGGTACGCCAAACTGTCTGCAGAGTCAAATCCGGAGTGAAAGAAATTCGGGTGTGCGGTTCCCAATAGTACGGCATCCCCCAGATTAATTACGTAGAGCGAACAGAAAATTTGATTTCAGGGCTTAACAGCACCAAAGAACTGCTGTAGTATCATCCTGCTATTCAGGGGGATTATTCCAAAATATGTATGACGCATCGTCTTATGCGGGCCCCCGATTGGATGCAGAGCCTTCAATGGCACAGAGAGCATTGATTCTCCATTAAATTGCATTCGGCGTCTTTTTAACAGTAATGTAGTGAGCATAGGCCATGGCAATCGGACTCAGAGTGGCACTCGTATTTCTTTAAGCTACTTCGTACTTCTTGGCTGCGTACTTGAGTTTCCAAGTGCAACGAGTACGCCGGTCTTGGACATTAAAGTACCAACTGCAGCCACAACCTCGTGATTTTATATTAATTTCTCTCAAGGCATACATGGACCTGTCTGTGATGATATGACAGCAATAACTGCCCGGGTCCGACTGAACAGCAGAGCTCAACGACCCAGAGCTCGGCCATACCATGATTTGTTGCCGCTTCTCATTCAAACTCTTTCTCTAAAAATTGTCGTACCTCGTGGGAGAAGTCGTTCTCTACAAGGTGAAGAATTCCTTGGAGGGGTTCTGGCAATGTGATGGAAGGGTGCGACGAATGACCGAGCCCATTCTCTACTCTGCACGACTGGAACCTTGCCTGCCGCCGTGGAACGACAGACCGTCGAGATGGCCTTGGAAGCGCGACTCGCAGGTATTTCCTGAGACGCCGGAGACTTTTGGTATGAGAGGAACTACTCATACATTGAACAAAACCGATGGCTGCTCGAGTCATCCGCAGAAGCGATTGTCGATCTTGGGCGAGACGATGGACCGCCGCGTGGCGAATAGCCGAGATCGAATCTCGCCAGCCTTGGATATCGCTGACAGCTGGACCTGAAGATTCCGCTTGCGGTGCGCGTCGGTGTCGATTGAGAAATTGAAACAGCTTGTGCAATTCCAAAGCCTCAGGGCATGTCCACCCATTTTGTACCGATTCCGAGAGGAAATACCGCTCGACATACCAAAATGCATGATACTCGAGATGCCGCTGGATTGAGTGAAGAATCCTATGCTGTGCCGGAAACGGAACCCGGCCCTCTGGTATCCCGAGGAGAGAATATAATGCGTAGAGTCCTTCTGGTCAAGTCAGTCAAAAGACGTTGGCATCATCCGAATTTGTGTTCTCACCGGACACGGGTTTTTCTTGCAGGGAACGGACGAAACCTCTGAGCATTCTATACGAAGTGTATTAGAGAGCGTCTAGGTTGAAGAAGCCATGTTCGTACTCACCTTGTGGTTTCCGGTCGTGAACGCACGCGGGCGAGCGGAGATGTCTGATGGACAGTCATGTCCTGGCCAGGCCGCGACATCCTCTTGGCGCATTTTCCACCAGACAATTCTCGTTTTCGGAGTCGCCGCGATATCTTCGGCATTGTGCTGTCCCAGCGTTCCGTAGTGTAAGGGACGAAGACCTGCTCTGGTAGACTGTTTGAAAACTTGGTCTTTTAGCCAGCCGGAGAGTCAGCCAAGATGCACTGAGAAAAGTAGCATATACTGATAACAGTCATGAAGAGGAGAGGACGCCAAAACCACAATTGGACCGCAAGTGCCTGTATAGTCGTCTACGCCGGCCACGTAACCGGGAGAATCTTCCTCTTGCCAGTTCAAACGCTCCCGATGTTGCCCAACGCTCCCAACGTTGCTCAACGCTCGGTTGAACGCGCTTTTCAACGACCGTTGAAGGTGGTTCACCGTAAACATCTGAGATGCAACCGCCAAGATATGGTTCCATGGGTGGCCCCGTCTAGATTCATCCACGCCACGGTTCGAAGTGGGGCGCCTGGTGAGATTGGCCGCAAACTCTAGATCGCATACTTCAACGGATGTTGAATCACCTCAACTGGCCACAAAAATGAAATATTTTCTGCAGAATTACAGCATAGTCCATCATCTCTCTCATTAAATCTGCATAGCTGGCAGATATGGGCAGCCGGAGGCGAAAAGACATAAAAGGACGCTCCACGACCGGTCTAGAAAGTCAGGAATTCGATCCTCATCCTCCGAGACGGCACAGTCTTGTCTGCCCGCAGAGTTCAAATCTTTTTGGTCTTAGCATTCACTGTCATGAGCCCAGTGAAGTGGGGGATACGTCCTCTTGGAGGACACGCTCTGCGTTATCAGGGGAATCCGCAGGGGAGAGCTGCGAAAACAAGGACCTCCGCAGAAGACGACTGCGAGAACAAGCGACTCCGCAGGGGAGAACTGCGACACCAAGGGCCTCCGCAGAAGACGACTGCGAGAACAAGCGACTCCGCAGGGGTGAGCTGCGAAAACAAGGACCTCCGCAGAAGACGACTGCGACAACAAGCGACTCCGCAGGGGAGAACTGCGACACCAAGGGCCTCCGCAGAAGACGACTGCGAGAACAAGCGACTCCGCAGGGAAGAGCTGCGCAACCAAGGGACTTCGCAGGGGAGCGCTGCGCAACCAAGGACCTCCGCAGGGAAGAGCTGCGCAACCAAGGACCTCCGCAGGGAAGAGCTGCGCAACCAAGGGACTTCGCAGGGGAGAGCTGCGCAACCAAGGACCTCCGCAGGGGAAAAGCTGCGCAACCAAGGACTTCCGCAGGGGGGCGCTGCGTGACGAAGTGAACTCCGCAGTCTAGGATCTGTGATGACAAAATCCTCGCAGGGGGGCGCTGCGTCACGAAGTGAACTCCGCAGATAGGAACTGTGATGACAAAATCCTCGCAGGGGGGCGCTGCGTTACGAAGTGAACTCCGCAGTTTAGGACCTGTGATGACAAAATCCTCGCAGCTTGAGGTCTGCTTTACCAACATCCTCCCTCACAGACCACGAGCCCTGTGTTTGTAAAAGCGTGCTCGATCGGGTAGGGCCTGGGGCCAGGGTCTACACCATGATCCTCTAGCGACATGCAGGCACCTCTCCGTGGTGCTAGGGACCAGTATTCAAGTGTTGCTGCGGCGCTTGAAGAAGCCAAGACCTGCACGACTCATCCCTGGGAACATTATGTAGCCCGGACCATGTAGCCCGACCCATGGGGGAAATCAATAGCATTGCAATGAAGACAAATTCTCGATTCTGACTTGTTCTAATGTATAGTTAGATCTTGTAAGCCCTATCACTGAAATTCCAATATAAAGGAGGACACTACGTGGAAATCCTTAAATCGCACGAGAAGCACGATCATACATACAGTATTGTCTTATCGAATGGAGACAATTGGATCACAGGCGACCCGTCAGTATTAGAAGCATTTGTTCACGGCGGTGTCTCCTTGTAATTCACGGATATTTAGATGCTTGCTGACGTGTGGACGGTATGGATGGTGTTGACGTGTTGATGGTGAGGACGGTAGGACGGTGTTGACGGTGAGGATGGTGTTGACGGTGAGGATGGTGTTGACGGTGTTGATGGTGAGGATGGTGAGGACGCTGCGTTGATAAACGGAAGTGGTGAAACGTTGAAACTGTGAATCACCAGGCGGTGAACCAGGCTCATCAGCTCATCCCTGGCACCGCAAATATTTGTCCGTTAGGCACAAGACCCCGCCCGCACAAGTTACTTTATCATTTGCTAAGTGTGCATTACGCGCTTTTCGACAGCAGGCAGGCTGACCAGCTTGTCAGGATCGCTTTTTTGAGGTCGTACTTGGCTGCTAACATTGTATCCCACACACATAATTCCACGGCGACGGTCAATCCAATGATTGATTATGGTTGCGAACGATCCCCCAACGAGGCTTTTGTTCAACGCAGCACCTGTTGACTGAACGACCGCTCTCGCAACATCAAAATTACATTTCTGTGCGGCGACTATTACATGGTTGAGGCGGTAGACTGGAATATTTGGCAGCTCACACTTCGCAAATAAACATGGGTGATACGAATTGCGGCTTCGCCAATTAGGACCCATTGGTGTTAATTTGCGGTCACGCTTTCTGACATGAGGAACCACAACAGGCACTACCAGATCCGGTAGGATCCATTAAATTGTTGAATGGCGAATTATTTAATCTTGGCTCTTGAATGTTGAATGGTTTGCATGTTTCTTGTCGTGTACTGGGTAATACTGTACGCAGATTCATGGCTGCATGATACTGTGATGCGTCTTGGACAAAATATATCTTGCCCTTCATTAACTCGAATGCATATTCTACACAACACCAACACCTGGGGGTGGTCGCAGGTGCCAGCAATTTGCAGGACTGCGTTCTTTGAACAGACTTTGCCTTTCTGATCCACTTTTCTTCACCTGAATAAGCCGATATTGAGACCAAATAAGAACCAAAACCTATCTGGAACTTTTTGGATCTCGGGAGGTGATCCGTGCTACATGATAAAGTCTCATTCCATTAACAACATTAATCGAAATGAATGTAATGCTTTTTGGCCTAGTGGTTACCTTCTCCACTGGGGTCGCGCGTTTCGCGTTCGAATCCTCCGAGCGTCGTCATTTCCGAATGATATTTAGATTTTTTGCGTTTGATTAGTTTCCCTTTATGGGTCTAGCCATTCGGTGTTTTCAGTTCACTTCCGTGTCGCGTTGTTGACTGCTCAAATATGACAGTAAAAAACAGGTTCGCCCAAGTAGAGTCGCGTCGCCTGGATTCACGTCGTCTCTGCACTTCCGCCGATCGCCTCTAGCGTCCGTCATTAACATAACGTGTCACCAAAAAGATGTTTCAACCCCCCTGCTCTCATGGCAAACCCAGTTCAAATATCGGGCACGCCTATGTTTGCCTCTCTGACCGGCAAGCCATCGGACGTCAGCAGTCCGCGGAAATAAGGGTCGTGTGCAGAGCTAGTTGGATCAAGAGTGGCCACATAGCGATTGCGGCCTCCTTGTCTTCCATGCGTGGCATAGTGGGCTTTGAGGTTATCGCGACGCGAAAAGCTGCGCTGGCACTCTGGAACCCAGCAAGAATGAGGTTTTCCAGCCAAGTGGCCGGACAGATGACGCTGAAGGCCTTGGAAGTAGCGAAAGCGACCTTTACACCCCGCAACGCTGCATTTGAATTGTCGCCGCTGAAACTGCCAGGGTATGCCGTTGCGACTGTGACTCGAGTAACCCTGGCTGCCACATATGAGGCGTGTGAATTCCTCAAAGTCGTGCCAGGAGGTCGTCCACTCACTGTCCAGCATCTCACCAAATAAGGCATTGTCGCTCGTATTCAGCATGGCTACACTGCATGACTCGGCAGTGGGGTTTCTCGCGAAGACTTCAACCCCAGGCTCCAAGGCAGAGTCGTCTTTGTACCATACGGGATTCTGATGCTGGGCTTGCTTGGCATATACATGAATGGAAAATTCCATGCTAGGCCAGATGTTGCCTAGGAAGCTGATCCAGTGTACTGCGACTTGGCTGTGACCAGCTTGGAGAACAGGCCATTGACAGGGGCCCTGCGAAGGGTAGGAAAGATTCCATTCTGCATGGCTCGTTTAGTGATGTGCTTGATTCAATCGCTCTATGCGGAGTAGACCGTGACTACTTACCCGTATGGTAGTCTCCATGATTGTCCTCCGCCGACGGGGGCGCTGTCTTAACCTGTGAATGCATTGGCTGATGGGCAGATTCAAAAATCTCTGGATGCACGAACATCAGGCCTTGAACAGGTTGGGAGATATACGTGAAAGGCAAGTCAGCAAGATAAAATATTGAACTTAGCTAGGAAGAGGTAGCGTCTAGCGAATGCTGTATTGTACGGGATGTGCAGGTGTTGCAAGTAGACCCGCTTTCTTAAAATCTTGAGCCGTGTAAAGAATCTGATTCAACTGGCCTCAATCATGCGCAGCTGTGTGAGCATGAGCGGGGAAGGTGATCGTTTCACCGGGAATTAGTCCGTTGATTCACACTATCAACGTTTGACCACCCCAATATTACGCTTAATTACATTTGCAGTCATTCTTTTGGAGCAATTTCTATTTCAGTTCTGAAACGTACATCGAAAAAGATATAACTTCTCGTACAATGTCGCGAAGTATCTAAGCATCTTCCATGATCACGCTCGACCTAATATGGACGATTCCCATGCCCGACCTGGCAAAGACCAGCCGGAGGATCGGCCCGCAAATAACCATCCTCCGACCAGCAAACCTGCGCCCGAGAATCAAGACATCCCGCAGATTGCGGTCGATCCACCCTCTGACCCACCTACAGTGAGTAGGTAAAGCACGACCGTTTTGATGATTGAGCTGACCACTGCTTGACAGCCCGAGGATCCACAGAGACCTCCCTTGATGGATCAGCCGTTTGAGCCTGCTATGGAAACTCTCGCACGGCTCGAACGTGAAGACCCTAAACTTGCGTTCCAAGCCGCGAGAATCGTGGGACTGTATCGGCGCTTGTGGGAGTCATGCACATCAAAGCATACAGAGGGAAGCAAGTTAGGCAAAGAGAATCACGGTCTACGAGAGACTCACCGACATTTGACCGACGAGAGGAACAAAATGCAGTCGCATCACGATGATCAAATTGCTCGATTGCAATTCTTTGATCAGGCGCTGGAGTCATCTCGGCTTCGACTGTCTGATATTCTCAAGGATTGGGACCGGTACCCCGAGGGGGTCCTAGCTCAGAGCACAGTGAATGATGGGGAGTGAAAGGAACATGGCGGCAGTAGAACGATCATCGTCCGATAGGAGATATTTTGGGAAATTCAAGATGATGATAACACTATAACAGACCCTTCCACTTTTGAAGTCTCTACAGTAGCGCCTCATTGC